TGAAGGTGGAGTGGTGGACGTTGTCTATATGGACTTCAGAAAGGTGTTCGACAAGGGTTGCGCATGGTAGACTATTTAGCAAGGTTAGATCACATGGAATACAGGCAGGACTGGTCATTTGGATACAGAACTGGCTCGAAGATAGGAGACAGAGGGTAGTGATGGAGGGTTGCTTTTCGGATTGGAGGTCTGTGACCAGCAGTGTGCCACAAAAATTGGAGCTGGGTCCACTGATTTTCATCATTTATATAAATGGTTTGGATGTGAACATAGGAGGTACGGCTAGTAAGTATGCTGAAGACACCAAAAATTGGTGGTGTAGTGGACAGTGAAGAAGGTTACCTCAGAATACAATGGAACCTTGATCAGATGGGCCAGTGGACCAAGGAGTGGCAGATGGAGTTTAATTTAGATAAATGTGAGGTGCTACATTTGGAAAGGCAAATCAGAGTAGGACTTATACACTTAATGGTAAGGCCCTGGGGAGTGTTGCTGAACAAAGAGACCTTGAAGTGCAGGTTCATAGTTCGTTGAAAGTAGAGTTGCAGGTAGATAGGATAGTGAAGAAGATATTTGGTATGCTTGCCTTTCTTGGTCAGTGCATTGAGTATAGGGGTTGGGAGATCATTTTGCAGCTGTACAGGTCATTGGTTAGGCTACTTTTTGAATACTGCATTCAGTTCTGGTCTCCCTGCTATGGGAAGAATGTTGTTAAATTTGAAAGGGTTCAGAAAAGATTTACAAAGATGCTTCCGGGGTTGGAGTGTTTGAGGTATAAGGAGAGGCTGAATAGGCTGTTTTCCCTAGAGCATTGGAGACTGAGAAGGGACCTTATGAAGCTTTATTAAAACATGAGGGGCATGGATAGGGTGAACAGCCAAAGTCTTTTCCCCAGGGTGAGGGTGTCCAAAACTAGAAAGCATAGATTTAAGGTGAAAGGGGAAAAATTTAAAAGGGACCTAGTGGGCAACTTTTTCACACGTGAATAGAATAAGCTGCCAGAGGAAGTGGTGGAGGCTGGTATAATTATAACATTTAAAAGGCATCTGGGTAGGTATGTGAATAGGAAGAGTTTAGAGGGATATGGGCTAAATGCTGGCAAATGGGACTAGATTAATTTAGGATCTCTAGTTGGCATGGACAAGTTGGGCCGAGGGATCTGTTTCCATGCTGTACAGTTCTATGACACTATGACTCTAAGGCATTGGCAAGATCATGCAGATATCAACTTCCATAAAGTTTATTCACTATGTTTGTTGGGATGGTCCTTTTGACTTCTAAGGACATGCTGCTCCTTGATTTCCTTCTCCACATACTTTCACTTGTTTGTAGAAGGTACAGGGTGACTGGCTCATATTTATAAAGTCTCCAACTTACTGGTTAAGAGCCATAGCTTACAGCAACTGCTGCAGCAAGGTAAGCTGCTTTTGTTCAGTGATAATGTTTTGTTAACTGCAGAGGAAAGAAACGGAACCTGCTATGCTGAGATCTGAAATAAAAACAGAAAATGCTACAGAAACTCAACGGGTCAGGTAACATTTATGGGAAGAAAGCAGAATTAATGTTTTGGATCTGGTGACTCTTTGTCAGTCACCAGACTTGAAATATTAACTCTGCTTTCTTCACATAGACCTTCATTAATTCACAAAAGAATGTTAATTTTGATTCTGAAAGCTTTCCCATCACCAGGGAAACTCACTAGCCTTCATTGCTAGATTTATCATCACACCCTTTGTTGTAAAAAACATGTAACGTTTGTAATTCTCCAGTTCTCTGATACCACCCCTATATCTGAGGACAATTGACAGATTATATCCAGACTGTACTATTTCCACATTTACTTCCTTCAGTATCTTTGGATCCAGTAGATCTGATCCTGTTGGTTTATCAGTTAAATACATAGCCTTCCTAACCTTGTTATCAATTTTTAACCCATCCAGCATTGCAACAATCACTTCTTCCACTGTGGCTTTGTCAGAAGCTTCTTAAAGATGAATGCAAATATCTCATTTAGCACCTTAGCCATGCACCTGGCTACATTTTTAAATCTCTTTTTTCATCCCTTATCTGTCATTAACTTTTACTATATCCATTTAAGACATTAGGATGCCCTTAGAAACATAGAAGATAGGAGCAGGAGGAGGCCATTCAGTCCTTCGAGCCTGCTCCACAGCCTGCTCTTTCATGTTATCTGCAGTCTGTTTTCACACTGTTTATTTGCTTCTCTTGTTTCCTTTTTCACTTCTGAATTTTTTACATTCAGCCTGGTTCTCGTTTGTATTATTAAATAAACATTTAGCATACACAACCTTTCTCTGCTTCATTTGATACCATCTTTTCATCATTGAAGGAGATCCAACTCTGGTTGCTGTACCTTTTCACCATACTTCAATTGTACATAATGTATTTCCTTTTTAAAGGCAGCTCATTGTTCTGTTACATTTTGTCTGACAATCTTTGATTTTGATTTATCTGAATCAGATCTGTTCTCATCCCATTGAAATTTGAAATTAAGCCTGTCTTACTTTAGATTGTTCTTGTCTTTTTCTATAGCTTACATAAATATTTTTATATGATGATGACTGATTCTTAGTTGTGTTAACAAAACAAGTAGTTAAGCAGATGATTGGATCTAACTGATACATTGATTGACTAGATCAATATAAAGGGGTAATTATCGGGCTTTGCATGTAAATTAATCAATTGGCAAACATGGGCAATTTATTCGTTGTGGTTAATAGATGAAAAAAAAAGGGTGATTTGGTGATGGGAAAAGAAGTTCAGTTGTTTTTAGAGCATTTCTGGATATTAAAAAATTCACGGTCTCCGTCTACATGGGGCTCACCTCTCCCCTCCACGCTGGGCTCACTCTCCCCACCCCGCTGGGAACACATTCCCCTCTCTGCTGGGCTCACTCTCCCTTCCCTGCTGGGCTCATTCTCCCCTCCCCGCTGGACTCACTATTCCCTCCCCACTGGGCTCGCTCTCTCCTCCCCACTGGACTCACTATCCCCTCCCCACTGGGCTCCCTCTCTCCTCCCCGCTGGGCTCACTCTCCTCTCCCTGCTGGGCTCACTCTCTCCCCTCTGCGGTGGGCTCACTCTCCTCTCCCCGCTGGGCTCAC